TGACAATTCTATGATTCTATGATTCTATTTGAGACTGCACGGTGGATAGTGGGCAGATCAGTGATGTGAAAGGGGAGAGGCTGCTGTGCTGCAGACGAGGTCTTTGGACAGGTTGGATGGGTCTGGGGTCAGGTGCTCTCTCCTGCATCACAGGCACCTTCACCTTAAGCCCTTGTGTGTAGACCTTGCAGAAGGTAATCGATTACTGGATCTCAGATCAGGAAAAAGGCAGTAAGTGAACAAAAGAATTGGTGTGGAGTTTTCAATTGAAATATCTATCTATGTGTTTGTAGAGCTTTTAAAAAATGTTTTGTATGGTGGTCATGGATTGAATACTCCAAAGATGAAAAAGTTGTCCGTAGAGCAAATGTCTCATGGCTAAACACATCCTTCTGATGACAAACCTAAGTTGACAATTCTGTTAATAGGATTAAGTTCATTAAGGGACTGCTTTCTCTTATAAATCTGGCCCAGATAGCATGGAGCTTTAGATTTTGCACTGAAAAGGGGGCCCTGTTTAGTCCCAAATTTCATGCCTTCATTTACAATGTAAGCTAGTGATTGATACTGGTAATATCCAGCGTTTCTAGCCCATACTAGGCCACCTTAAATGACTCATTTCTGAGAATAATTAATGCATTATCACAGGTCTGAGAGCATTTTTCTGTCATAAGGTTATATCATGGAGTTGATTCTTTTTCAGGAACACATAGCATACATGTAATAATTTTATTTTCTTCCTGATATAACATGTTTTCACAGGGGCTGAGGAAAAGAAAGCAGACCTTCAACCAAGAAAGGCTATATAAGGAGACACGAATGCAGAAAAGCACATCCTGCAAAATTTACCTGCAACTGCTGCGAATCAGCAAAGCTAAGTATATCTTAAGTTTAATATCTTCTTTGCTGGCTGAGAGCTCCCATGCTACCTTGGAGGCAAGCCTTTCACTGTTATTACTGGAACATGGCCCCAAAGAGCACTCAGTGCGTACCAAAGCCAAGATCCTGCTGAGGATGGGGCAGACCAGTCCTACGTGACTGCAGAGACCTGAGCACCAGCACAGACCTGAGAACAGCACTGCAGACAGGAGGCTTTCAGTTTCTCGGTGACGCTCAGCTCCACCGGCTTTTGGTTGAGAGCTGGGCACATAAGTGTCCTGAAACCTTTGAAACTGGCCCTTCTTCGGATTTAAAGCTGGGGCCCTGCAGGGTGTGGTGAGGCTGTCGGATAGTGCTGTTCAGTAGCTGGCTCAGCATATGCCTCCAAAAGGAAAACAAAGCCTAATGATATTTCACTACTCAGCTGCTAATTGAAATGCTGGTGTTTAGAGGTTTAGGCCTACAATCCAATCAACCACTTAAAATCTTGTACTTCATTTTTTTGCATAAATAATCTTTCTGTAATTAAACTCAACCTTTGGATATGTTTTTCCTTTTCTGGTCACTATGCTGAGCATCCACAGCCCAGAACTGATGAATACAGAAGAGCAGAGTGGATAAGCTGCCCTTGCTCCTTCTACCCCTGTGTGTGACAGCAGAGATGCACTAGCATACCGCTGTCTTTCTCCAGGCGTATCCCTTTCTCTTCTAGATGGGTGTTTTGTTTGGGCGGGATCTGAAGATGTGCATTTCTCTGGTCTTTTTTGATGCCAGGCTATAGCTGTGAGTGAGTGTCAACCACATCCAGGGGAGGCAGGGATGCCAGCCTTGCCTGCAGAGCAGGGCTGGGTGACACCCAGAGATGTGGGACCGTGCTGCAGACGGGCACGGCTTGACAGAGGGACCTGCAGCGTTGTCCAGGGAGTGAAAAAGAGATCGAAGCTCAAGTACAAGGGGTCGTTTGGGTCAGTTGATCTAAAACTTGTGGCTACATAGAACTGTACTCACTCCAAATTTGCTCACAAAAACTTTCTTCAACACCGCCACATTGGGAGTGCAAGTAGAGGTAGCTTAGCTGAGGTTTTTCCATGGGATTTTTTTTCCCCCCAGTACCTGTGTCAAAACATTCTGCCATACTGCTGTAAGATTTTCTTTGGAAGTCAGTTAGCAAAGTTTTGGTTGCAAGCCTCATGTTTTCAAAATTAGAAAAAAATACGTTTTTCATCCCTGATTATGACTGATGTCTGCCCGACTAGTTAAATACAGATAGTATAATTTTATCTAAGCCACAAGGTTCATTCACTTTTCATACAAGTTGTAATTTGCCTTTTAGGGTTCAAGCAAATGACTGTTTTCAGAGTGGTGCAATTTTATGAATGTGGCACTAGAGGGCCTTGGGCGGCTCAGGGTTAGAATCACCATCAAACTAACACTGTTGGAAAATATACATGCTTTACAACTTATGTTTACATTACGTAACCACTTTCTGAGCCCAGGTGACTGTGTTAACTTTTAGTTGCTTGACTGCTGGCTGCTTTCCCTCTGGCATTTCTGACATTTCAATGAGAAATTGTTTAAACAGTTCAGCAGAGATGGCTGCAAAATTTCAGTATTTAGTTGTGCTTGCCATAGAAGATGCATAAAGATTCCGTTCTATTGCTCGCAGGTTTTAAAATTCCCCAGTCGAATTTTCCTTTGCTCCCAAGTCATGCCAGGTAATGGACTCTAAGGCGCTAGCTGGATCAGACCAAAACCGTGCTAGGCACTGTCACGTATGTTAGCGATGGGGCGACGCTGCTCCAGCAGTAGCAGGCATGCCCCAGCACTGACTAGTTTAGGAGTTTAAATTTAGCACTAGATTCACAGACAGCGAGGAGGCTGTACAAAAAACCTCTTCACTGGCAAATGATGTTAAAATGCACCCTTCACAAGGAACCCTTCACGTCTGGTTCCTCCAGACGAGCTGGAAAGATTGTACCAACCAAGTAGATCATCTTAATGTGAAAGAAATACTTTTAAACTGGCCTAAGTTCTGCTTAAACACAGACAGACTTTAACAGGGCAGCAGACACAAAGCCATGGAAGCCAAATAGCTAAGAAATCTTTACCAACAATTCCACTCATTTTCTCAAATTCCTTCTAAATCAAGGCCCTGACACTGCCTGCAAAGGGAAAAGCAATCGTTTCCAGGAGGCATTTGCTCAAACGATAAATTTTCAGCAAGTCCCTGAAGTCATATTTGCCATAACTGAATGTGAAGTACATCTTAATGAAGCTGGAAAAAGAAATCTTTTTAGAAATCTTTTATAAGCAATGGAGGAATGACCAGGCTAAGAGCAGTTTAGTAGCATATAAACGATCACTATTCTAAGATTAAGTACTCCTGGAAGAACTCTCATGACCTCTTAACTACCGATGAATAAGGAGCCTAGGCAAACCTGAGTCTCCAAAGACTTTCTAGAAAGAAGCTTTTTTCACTGCCTACCTACAGACTCAAGTTCAGGGATGGATGCAGCCATGTATTAGTAGAGGAAAGTCTCTCGTTCATATCACAGGCTACGGGAACGCATGGTCTACTTGTCTGTGCCAGGGTGGAAGGAAGGAGCTCTTAAACTTTCCTCTTTTCCTGGTAAATCTACCAAGTCACCAGCAGTGACTGGAGAACCTGTGTCATAGTGCAAACAGTGCAGGGCAACACAGCACATTAGGCTAAACCGAAGAAGCATGAGAACACGGAGTTCTCATAAATGTCATGTGCACACATAGCAGAATAATTCAGTAAAGAAACAAAAATCCTGCTCTCAGAAGCAATTCCCCTAGTCAGTTAGGCTAGCCAGTCCCATTGGATTATAGGGCTTCATTCTCCTCAGCTTGTTTTCAACAGAGGAATTTTCAGGAAAAATTCAGATCTGTTGTTGTTGTTGTTGTTGGATGTTGCTAAGTTAAGAACACAGACTAAACTGTGAGACATGATCGGACCAGATACTCAACTTGTCTAGTCACCTGTTTCAAATTTGGCAGTGTAGAGAGGAATCAGAAGAGTCTTTCCATTGGATTTATCTTCTCAGCAGAGAAGAAAGGGTCTAAAAGAAGCAGGCCCTAGGGAAAACCATGGATCCAGGCTCCTTCATCTCTGTGCTGAGCTGCAGTGCGGATCTCACTAATGAAGGCAATTTGCCATTTTCAGAACTCTGCGTTGGTAGTCACTTTGTGTCAAAATGGGCCACTGGTGGGATCACAAACTACAGGCTTACCTTAGGGAGTCTGTACTTTTCTCTCAGATGAACCCTCAGACAGGCTCGCTCTGCTTTTTTCTGTGCAAATGCTGCATCTCTTTCCATTCTGAAAACCAGAAAAAAAACGTTTCTTCAAGATACTAATAAAATATGGTCTTTTACACTGAACCAGTTGCTTAGCTGCAAAAAGTTACACGCAGGAGTTGTTCCCAAACTTATGTAACTTGTCCAAAGGCACAAAAGGAGCGATCTCAATAAAGGGATGCTAAGGGGCCAGACTTCGCGCACCCCAGCCTTGTTCTCAGAATAGCTCCCTTGGGCCCTGTGAAGAATGAAGGATAAGTCAGCACTACTTGTCTGGAATTTCTGCCTGTACTAGGTGTTACTGCTCACTATGGCAATGAACAACTTCAATCAGCAGAACAGAAAAGTTACACTTATTTCTTGCTTATTCCTCTGGGATACTCACAGAGATGCAGCTGCCTGCCAGTGCTGCTGTTTTGCAGAGGTGACATTGTCACAGCACACTGCCACCCGGCGTGCCACCGGGATCCTGCTGGTCAGGCCAAAAAGTTTACCCATCCTAGAGTCCCCTCTCCAGCAGCACACAGTACTGAACACTTGGAGAAAGAGTTGAAGAAGAGGATAAGCATCCTGTATCAAAAAGTGTCCAGCTCCCAGAAATCAGTAGTGTAGGGTACTGGAGCTGGAAACTGGCTCTACATCATTGTCTTTAATTGCCCTGTCTCCTGCAAGCGCTTACTGTTTCAGAACATCCTACGGCAATGAATTCCACAGCCTCCCCCTGTGGAAAAGCACTTCTTTTATCTGTGACTTTATAAAATGCTTTAATTAGATTTAAGAACTTGACTTTTGGTTAGATGGCATGACTTTTGGTTAGATGGCATGACTTTTGGTTAGATTACTTACTCGGTTAGATTTTGATTAGATTACTTGACTTTGTTGGTTAGATGGCATGACTTTTGGTTAGATTACTTATGTATTTATTTACAGAGTATGTCTCTTGGAAAACTTTTGGTAACATTTGATAACATTCACCTTTCCCCCTTTTATTTTTTTCTTTTCCCCCCAGAGCATTGTTATGGAAATTCTATTGCAAAATTGATTTTGTTCCGGTGTAGGTATTCTGTCACATAAAAGCTAAACGTTATTGTTCCTATGCTTCCGCAAATGAGTTTTTGGATTTCTCTCTCCCTAAAAAAAAAAAAAAAGTTCACATTAACTGGAAGCCGTCTTAAACTTCTTTCAGCCAGTCATTGATGGGAAGATCGGAAAGAAATTTTTTTGAGCCCTTCTGGCATGTTTTCCCTCTCTTTCGCAACTTTCCTCTTTTGTTGCCCACTCCTTCTCCAGAGAAGCAGTTAGTGGAGCCCTAGTGGCCTTCGGAATGCATTTCCTGAGGGCGGCGTTACTGCACGTCCCTTGCGTGTCCCGAGGGGCAGGAGGGGATTTTCTGCTCGGTGGACTTGAGCTTTTCACTTGTCCTGGCATCGTGGGAAGACCTGGCAAAACTCAGCTTGGCCAATCTCCCCTCATTGCCCAGGCCCTAGTGCCTGCCTTAACCTTACTCCTTTCTGTTCTGGAGGATCTAATTGTCCCATGGGACATGGAGGTCTGTAGGAAGAGGAAACGAGTATAAGGGTAGCTGAGTGACAGTCGAGAGCCTGTGACATTCAGCATGAACTGGGGGCCCCTTGTACTTAAACTCTTGTGATTCTGGAAGCAATTTCTACGCGACCGTGCAGGAGGCTGCCAGCCCAAGCCACCTGTCTGCGCCTGCATATCACACATGGCCCTGAGAAACAGCAAGCTGTGCACTTCTGTGTGCTTAACCACCAAAAAAAGTCCCCAAACCCAAAGCCTGAGCAGAAACCAAAGGCAGCATGGCCACACATCGAAGCCTGGTGTGACGCCAGCAGGGCACCTCTCCCATCTCCCCCCTTGGGGAGGGCAAGCTGGCTAAAATCCAGAGTGCCCTAAACAGATGCTCCCTCCGCCTGTGACAGGTTTCTGACACGCATTTACGTAACCACACCAGCGTGCACTGCCCTGAGCCCGTTTTTTTCTCTTTGGAAGTGCTTCAGATGTTCCTATCACAGCTCCAAACTGTACTTTCAGAAGTGCCCCTGCACCGATGCCTCGGTACAGCTCGGGATGTAATGGGCACATGCCACAGTTGAAAACCTTACAGAAATAACTATTTTTCCAAGCATTTTCCCTATTCCAGGAATCTCATTTTGCCTCTCAGTCTCAGTAAAGCATCTTCCTGATGGTTGGTGACTATCTCTCTTTTAAATACCCCTTGATAAAAATGCATAGCAAAACATTCTGTATTTTATTCCAGACCAAATGATATCTACTCAAGGTTTTATGATAGATGTGGCTGCTGCTAAATACAGACCTGGATACCTCAAATTCCGTCAGTCATTAACCTTTCACCTATAATCATCTTACTTGAAGGATTTACACAACCATTATGTAATTGACTATTAGAGGAACAGATGCATTTGAGATTTAAAAGTCAATCGTTTTATTTATAATTATGCATGATTTGAACTCCTACATGTTAAGTCCTTTATTTTACTTCTCTTTTGATATTTAAACACGGCAAGTAGTAAAGATTTTAATTACAGACAATAAAACTGAGATGTAATCAGCTGAAAAGCTTTGCTCTATTTAGTAGATTTTAGAAAAAATAACTGAAAATGCAACTTCAGAAAATAACCATCTTAAAACTTCTATCTAAGTAAATAACATCCATTTAACATAACACTCATTACTTTTTCATGTCTGCAATAATAAATGTGGACAAAGAAAAGATTATGTATTAAAAATGTACTCCACCTGGAGTTCTAGGAGAACAAATTATAAACATTTTAGAATTAATTTCTGCACTACAAAACAGCTTTTTTTGAAAAAAATTGATAGGCACAGTAACATTAACTAGGAACGAATCGAGCATATCAAGGTGTGGAGATAGAAGGGGATTGTAGGAGAGAGTTGCAGGATGAGGATGGGGGCAAGGGGAAGCATAATACTTTATAATTTCCAGTTTGTGAACTTTTATTTTGGAATGTCTCTTTAGGAAAGATTCATCTGCTTTAAAAGAAAAAAAGGAAGAGGGCTGAATGTTTGGCTTTTTTTTGGGTTATTTTTATCTGCCCAAAGTTACCCACAATCAGCCCCATACTGATAAGAAGAGAACAGGTACTCACTTCTCCTCAACCATTTGCTTTTGATATTCCTCATACTCCTCTCTGGTCATTCCTGCAGCTGCTGCTGGATCAGAAGGAGTGCTTTCTTCTTTGCTTTCTTCCCCTCCACCTCCAAGTCCCAAATTCTTTACCTGGTTGCTCAACATGCTTTTCATTAGAAAGGCCATCTTCTCAGGGAAGAAAGAGCTACAAGCAGACAACTACAAGAAAGCCAAACCAAACCAAAAATGTTTTCAAAACCAAATTGTAAGCAAGAGAGTTTCTACAGCCACATCAGCTCTTCAAGGGCACAGTGCTAGTGAAACGTGAATGCCAAAACCAGTTTGTCAGCCATAATCTGGATTAAAGAGTGAACTCCTTAATATCTAGAGGCAGATGGTTCAGATTATTCCAAAAAAAATCATTAGATGAAGCTACCTACTTTTTATATTAATACCTTAAGCTAATTGTGCACACAAAAATCAATTATACTCTGCAGAAGCATTTTTACTTTTTCAGTCACGAAACTCTCGCTTTCACGGAGATGAAAACATGCCCTGGAACATAATGGATCTGAATTAAAAACCTCGTTGACTAAATGGCTGTAGTAAAATCAGAAAATTTGGCCTACTGAGCAGAAAACCCTTTTGGATTTACACAATCAAGTGAGATTTGAAAACTGCAATTCTTCATTAAGCAAAAACCCCGATCCTTTTTATCCACTGGACAGAAAGCACCTTGAATGACTCTTCATCTGCTTTTCATCTGGTTCGTCTCTCAGATGAATGGAGCATTACTGCTATCACTACTTTTTAATATCTTTTTTCTTCCAATAAAGTAATCACAAAAAAAGCAAATCGCATCTTCCTACTTTTCACTCTTTAGGGTTTATTTCAACTTTGCCCAAGGCTGTCTCCATCTAGATCACTGCTTTGACTGGTGCTGCACAGGTTACCACGTTTTTAATGTTAACAATCAGTTCGAGAAATGAATCTGTCTGATTCTGTTTGCTGTAATACAGCCTTGACAGCCCGTGTTTGTGTCTTCCATGTGTAGATCCTCCTCTTTCAAACTTTACTCACATCGTTGGCCTCACCAGGCCGATTCAGGTGAAGGTTTGCAGGGTCTGCTGCCTAGGCCATAGATTATTTTGCAAAAGAACATCAACCACTAGATTGCAAAAGTTGATGATTCTGGATTCTGAGCATTTATCCTTCTATGACTGACTGCGCATGCTTCAATGAAACATGCTGTAATTTTGATTATCTAAATGGTTCTCCCAGCACTCTCATAATTTCACTGAGATACAGGAGGATTCCAGTTTGCCTAATGCCTTAATCTGTATTAGATCCTTTCTAATTAAAGCAGGCCTGTTACTATTAAAAAAAAAAAGTAAAAAAAGCAGGACATTCTGTAATCCTGGATTGTTAGTGATTAAACAAGAAACTTCAAACTTCTTTTTGAAATAGAGTATTACTCAGAAGTATGAAATCTGAATCACAACCAAACTACTTTGATACACTTCAACTACCTCGAAAGCATTGTTCTTGCATTAAAATTTATAACTCCAGTATGCTTTCAAATCTATGCATAATTGCAAGAATTTGTGGGAAGAATCAGCCTTTTACATCTGACCAACTCTGACCTTAGTGACCAAAACTGTGGTGTGCGTGCCCGAATGGCAACAGAACTGACATCGCAGAAGTCAGACAGCTAATCTCAACTGAAGCAGAGAATGCCAGATTTGTGCATGTATTAGTCCGAAGTCGAATAAGAGAATTTTCTTATCTAGCAAAATTAAAAAACTAAAAATCCAGCACAAACTCTATACCTAAGGTATCAGTGCTCCTACGTCAGAGAGTAACTTGAGAGTGGGCCTGGCAAAGTCAGTGTGACTTCATAAGGTCCGAAGACTTCCCTGGACCAGTTTGCTGCCTCTGTGAGGCACTCAGCGGGCAGATCGGCTGACAGCGACCCTTGTTTCCCATCCTTCGGCACGTTAGAGCAGGCTGTGCTTGTTCAGAAGAGCCGACGAGTGGCCAGTGCCATGGGCTCGCTGCAGGCCAGCGGCACCCACGCAGGCGCACTAGCTCCAGCAGAACGCAGCAGGAAATACTCTTGGCACAAGCTTCTGAGAGAATCTCTTGGGTCAGAGTCACTCCCACACTGAAGCACGTCACAGGGACAGGGTCCCTTTGTGCAGAGGGAGCGGAGGGGGCTGGATGCTGGATGCTGGACGCAGTGCACCGAGACAGCGGCAGTCACCTCGCTCCAGCATGGGCAGGCCCTCGGCCTCTGAATGTCCGTCGCCCTCCGGGATCGGTCAGGAGCAAGCCTGGACCTCGAAGAGCTCAAACTCTCTGAACACCAGAGGGTGAGGGATGCTTTGACTACACTTGCTTGGATTTCATGGACATGGACCAAATTAAAAGGGAAAAAAAAAAGCTTACTAAAAATACGTATCTTTATTCAAATGAGGTTATCTCTGAACTCCAAGTGTCAATTTACATTAGTCAGAAACAAACACGTGAAAATGTCAGCTGTTTATGGAGAAAAAACAGTAGACAGTCTTTGGAGTTACAGTAATTGATGCATAGATAAACGTCAAATTTTCTTCAGACAGAAAGTCAGGTAATTTACAAACCACATTATGAATTTCTGCTTTTGACCATGTATTCAGTACAGTGAGATTCTCGTCACTGCCAGTACTTGCTACTTATCATCCCCGCTTCAAATACCAGTATTAGACTTGTTCTCCCCCTTATTGTCAATCTGCATTCCCAGGTGTCTTCCCCTCCTAGTCCTAATATCTTACTTGATAGGAATCAAACATACTGTCAGCATTGAAAGAAACTTCCAGTGGCCAGCCATAACAGGAGGCTACTTAGAGTCCCAATTTGTTGCTATCACTTCAAGAACAGACAGGACACGAGTTGAACTGGGCAACTGGGAGCTTTCCTGTGATCCAGTGAGTGACGAGTCAGTTGTGGAAGTGCCAAGGAGAGACGACTGTGAAATGAAGCAGGAGGCAAAGTTACCACTTTTTGGATGTTAGGCTTTAGGCATTCTGCTCCCTAATACAGAAGGTTCCTAGTGGCACACGGGAGAGAGGTCAGATCTATGAGCAGCATAAACACACAAGCTGGGCCTCATACTGAAGACACAACTGTGGGTTCACGTTTTCCCCTAAGCACCACCCCCAGCCTTCTCTTCTAACAAAAAGACACAGAAGTATGGGCTGTTGCAGCTTGAAAACAAAGTTGTAGTTGGATAAATTCACAGTAACAAAAAAAATACAGTCTTCCCATCGATACATTAGAGTGGTTCTTCACTATGCCCAACACACGCACGTACATCTGAAAATACAGTTGCTAGCCTTGCCCTATAAAGGGTCTGGCAAAGCCTGCTGTGAGAGAGGGAGTTCTGCTTACGTGTAGCACTGGTGCAGGAAGGGTTGCAACTGAAAGGAACACACTGTACATTTTCAGAACAGTTTAAGAAAATAGATTAATTTAGTTAGAAGAGCCAGGGTTGTAATAGCTTAGGTTCAAGGCACCTGTAAATACTGGCTGGTGTTGAAAGAACTGAATGGATAATTCCCACGTTATTCTCGTTTATCTGACAAGGTTTTTTTCTGTATTTATCCAGAAAGGTTAGTTTGAGGCAGTAGTTTCTCCGGTTAGTACAGCAAAATCTTCTCAAATTTAGAAATGAACCTATAAAGCTATACCACCCACAGTATGCTACATACTGTAGCTACGGAAATAGGTGTGTACGTAGTATTGTTTTACTGGTACAGCACACACATCCACTTTCTGGACACTGCATTTTAAGTAACAAAAAGGTATTGCATAGATTTATTTTTCTCCATACTGACAGGCACAATATCAAAGTGTTCTTCATTACAGTGAATTTGGCAGCATGTGTAACACTCCAAGGGAGCAGATTGTAGGAATGTAGCAGTAGTAGTATGCGAGATTCCAGAAGATTTTTGCAGATTCAGACAGATTAATTATTGAAGTGAAACATTCAGATACATTTGTGTATTATTTTACAGAATTAACAACAACCAAACAACCAATCCCCCCTATTCTAACTCTACACATAAACAACTCGAGGACAGAGTTACCACAGATATGTAAACAAGGCAAAATGAATTAATTTCACATTCCTAATTTGGGCTATCTGCTTTGTTTCTTTTCTGAAGCAAATGTTCACCTGATAAGCAGTATCAAAACCACATGTTCACTCTTAGGCTTCTGATGTTAAAGCAGGAATTGACACATAACACTGGTTCTACAATAGTTGCTGCATCAACAAACATGTCTGAAGCAAACAGCTCATGAAGAAGTGGTTCAACACTCAGTACCTGTAGTTTAGAATACTTGCCATGTCAAGATTTAAATCAAAACCTCTGTATTGCATACATGAAAGACGAGACAGTTTTAGAAAAGTAAAGACATACTAATACGCTAAACATATCCTTAATAAAGTCAGATTCTAAGAGGTAGGAAGCAGCGATATCTTTGCTGAAGAATTTCCACAGATCTCCAAAGAAAACTACTGAGACTTGAAACTACAAAAAGGAAATCAGTCCCACAATATACTTAACATATCATGTTTTCTCTCACTGCCTAAAACCAAACCCCCAAATAAGGAGATAAGCCTTTATTTGCTTGTTCTGTAGTTTGTTTCCTACATCGGGTATCAGCAGTCAGACTGTTAAAGGCCTGTCTTTGTGTCCACATGTTAAAAAGTGTTTATACTTCATGAAGAGTTAGAATTAGCTAAATAATTCTTCAAAATAATTCTTAAACTGTTAAATCTCAGTGGTAAAGAAGTGGAACGTTTATAACAAATTCTTTACACCACTCAACCCCCCAAAATAGAGAAGCACAGTTGTTTGGGTTGGTTGGCTGGTTTGTATTGTGGTGGGATTTATTTTGGGGGG